GAACCCGCCACCTTAGGTGTACGTGGCTGGCGCCTTAGCCGGTTGAGCTATAGGCGCTGAGCCATATCAAGAAATCTTAATAGCACTTTATTTTACTGTTTAGTTCTAAATAAATTATTCTAGCTGTGAACGTCTCTGGATGTGAAATAAAATTTACCATGACCAGTTTGCATATAATATGACCTATGAAAGGGTAAAGACTCTTATCAATTGGTGGTTGTTCTTCCTACAACCAGCAGTATTTTTCTTTTATCTTCCTGCATTTTTACTTATATCCAGGATGAAATAAATCTATCATGAAACAACTACCAACTGTATAATATCCCTTGGTATTTTTATTCCAATTGTAGACTTTGATCATATGAGGACTCTTAGTAATACCCAGCATGCTTCTGGAATACCACCTTTGTGTCTAGGGATAAAGTCATCAGTTAATCTTAAACAAAATATAGTTAGGAAGAAAATCACTATACCACACTGTAGAACTAAAGACAGAGTTTTGAACACACTGTGGGGTTATCATACTGATCCCACCATTTATTTTGCCAGACAGTGAAGAGTTGGCTATGATATCTCTTTTTCATACAAATGGACTTTAAATAAATATTTGTTGGTCTCTCCATTTCACTTATCAGTTTTATAATCCTCATCTTTTCTAGATCCAAGAACTGCTAATAAGTTTTCTTCTTAATTATTTTTCTTTTCCTCCTTGTTTTGAGAAATAACAAAGCACATTTCTCTAAATTGCATCTCTATAGTATCCATATCTTCGTCTTGAAAAAGGTAAGGAAGAGATTGCAGGTACTGCAATCCCACCTTTCCACTTACCTTGGCTCTGCCAGTACTTTGAAGAATGTGCACTAAGGCACAAGCCAATTCTTCTTTATTTCTCACACTAATTACTGGCTCAAGGACAGAACACAACATGGTGTAGTTGCTGGTGACAAATTCTGCAAATTCTTTGTATTGCTCCATAGGCAGAATGGTGATAGTTTGGAAACGTGATTTAATACGAATAGAAGGTCCTCCTGTCTTTCCTTTGTTGGGTGTAGGTGTACTCACTGGATACCATTTTTCAACAAATTGGCGACCAGTCACACTGGCGGTGGGGATGTTAACTAGCCCTACATAATTATTCTTGTCCTTTTTTCTCTTTTTTTCCACATCTTTATAAATGTGAACTGTGATACTATGAAGAGGTGGAAGGCTAAAGAATTCAAAATGTTCACCCCAGAAAATATTATCTGCTTTGGTCTTGCTGGTTGTACGAGCAAAGAGGGTATCATCAAGGCACAGTTCACAGAAATATTTCTTTTTAGGGGCAAGGTCCTTGGCTTCAATGATCCATAAACGGAGAACATTTTCGGCTCGTCTGCAATTGTCCTATAAAGAAGCAATAAAGTTGAATTTGAGATATAATATTTCAGAAAGAAAACATTTTCCTTTTAAAGTAAACGGTACTGATTATGTACTTTTCTTAAAAGTACATATAATAAAACAAATAATGAAAAGGATTGCTATCTCATTGATTAGGATAATTGCAAGCTCTAAACAAGAATGTATCAGATCTGTTTTTTAAAGGGGCCGCAGTGTTTTTATTACATGGATACCTTGTATAATGCTTAAGTCATCATGGCTTTTGGTGAGCCCATCACCAGAATGGTGTTCACCATACCCACCAGGGAAGTTTTTCTGTTACACCCACCTTTTCAGAATCAGAATCTTAAAGAACCACTTACATTCTATTTTACTTATGTTAAGAACATATCATCTTATAATGCTAAGTTTTTACATACCCAGCCTAGTGTCAAGTGGGCTAAATTTTGCAAATAAAAAAGGTTAAGAAGGGACTAGAAAGGTGTTTCCATCCTATACTAGCTTCTGACTTGGGCAAGTTGATTAACTTTTTTTCTTCTTATCCACGTTGGTAAAATCATGATAATAGTATCTATATTATTTTTAGCTTAAAATAGCATAACACATAAATGTACTTTAAAACTCTATAAAAATTACTACATACATTACTGTTACCTTTGCTGTCTATCAACTCAGTGCTTACAAAGTGATATATTCTTTAGACATTTAAAACTACTATTACCTTATTAGGTTGAACTGTCCTGCGAAGGTTTTCCATCCACTTATCTCTCTCAGAAGCAGAGTTACAGCTGAAACATTTACTTCCACTTAGGTAGGTGACCTTTAACATAAAGATTAGAGATAAGGAAAAGAAAATATAGGATTTGGTAGCTTTATCTTCCTAGTTCTATCACTGAAGAGTTAGAGATATGCTATGGGCCCAAATAATTTACATGGAACTAAAATGATCTTTGCTTATTTTGTGGTACTTATTTATATCTACATCTGCATTCATTTTTGGCTTAGGTAGCTGCATATTCATTTCCAGATATGAGAATAAAGACCATTTCAAATTCAGCTGAAGAAACTCAAACTGGCCTATGGTTCAGAAAAATCAAAATTAAAATCCTTTTACATTTTAAATTACTTGGAAATAAATATGCTCAATTTTGAATGAGTTAATAAAAAGTAACTAAAAAGGAAAGAGAGTCTCTGAAACAGTTTATTAGATTTCTTGAGACCACCTTCACAATAATATAGTGAATTTCATTTCACAAATGAAATGAAAGAGAGTTATTATTAGTATTGCATTACTGTTTTTGGAATCCATTTTTCCTTTATTAGGTAACCAACTTGTAGATTTCCAATTACTTATTAGCCTTACTGATATTATCACAGTCCTTTAAAATGAAACATGTTGTTAGATGCTTAGCACCAAACACTGGGTTTGGTATACAACTTAGTTAACTGAATTCTATAAATATGGGAAAGTTGAAGTGATTTTTATAAAAAAGATGAGCAACAAATGACTTGCCCAAATTGCTGAAGTTTTCTAATGTGTTAACTCAATCTCAGCTCATAGCCTAGTGAATCAGATCAGATTATATGCTCTGTCCACTATGGCAGCTATGAGCCTCATGTGGCTCATGAGTGTCTAAAATGTGGCTAGTCTAAAATGAAATGTGCTGTAAACATAAATTTATATTAAACTTTAAAAATTTAGCACAAAATGTAAACATCCTTATTGATAACGTTTACGGTATATACTGAAATGATAATGTTTGGGTTAAATAAAATGTAAAATTACATATGTGGCTTACATTTTCATTTCTTTTGGATACTGTTGGTCTATAAGAAAAGAAACCAGGGTGGCCCCTGTGTCTTAGTGAGTAGGGCGCTGGCCCCATATACTGAGGATAGTGGGTTTGAGCCCGGCCCCAGCCAAACTGCAACAAAAAACAGCCAGGTGATGTGGCGGGCATCTGTAGTCCCAGCTACTTGGGAGGCTGGGCATGAGAATTACCTAAGCCCAAGAGCGCTAGAAGTTGCTGTGAGTTGTGACGCCATACCACTCTACTGAGGGTGACAAAATAAAACTTTGTCTCTAAAAAAAAGAAAAAGAAAAGAAAAGAAACCAAACATCTTTCAACTTCTACAACATCTACTATAGGGACTCATCACTAGTTACTTAGTAAATTAGTACTAAGTAATCAAATCCTAACTCTAATAATTTTTTATATATAAGATGGACATAAAGTTTGTGTGCGAATTAAAATAGTTTAACACAGTAAACTGCACATAAACTATATGTCCACCCTGTATATAAATGTGTGTATATATCTATGTATACAGTTTTCAAATTTGACTTGTAAATAATCAACCATGTACATTTCATTTGGAAGGGAGAAATTACCTTATAAAATATGATAGCTATAATTTTTTAGTGAAGGGCAATTTATTTAAGAAGTTAGATACCTGCAATGTGTGAGACTGGCCTAGGTGCCAGGGATTACAAAAATAAGTATGACATGGCCCAGATCTTGACCTATTCATATTATAGTTGGAAAAATTATGGTTTGGGTCGCTCTCCTTAAAAAAAAACCATTAAATCTGGGAATTAAGGGCTTCAGGAAAAAAATAATAACATAGTGAGTGACATCCTTATCAATACTAAAAATTAATATGCTGATTTAATAAGTTATTGTCTTGTGACTTTTTTTTGAGACAGAATTTTGCTCTGCCACCCATGCTAGAATGCCATGACCTTAGCTCACAGCAACCTCAAACTACGGGCTCAAGCAATCCTTATGCCTCAGCCTCCTGAGTAGCTGGGACTACCAGTGCCCACCACACCTGGCTAATATATCTATTTTTAGCAGAAATGGGATCTTGCTCTTGTTCAGACTAGTCTTGAACTTCTGATCTCACGTGATCCTCTTGTCTTGGCCTCTCAGAGTGCTAGGATTGAGGTGTGAGCCACTGGGCCCAGCCTAAGAAGTTAATTTTTTTGATAGCAGACAAGGCCAAAATGTATGAGAAGCAATCCTTAATAACTTTTTAAACTTTAATGACAAATTTCCAACTTTTTCCTATAAGTAGGTGATTTTCAGCAACTGAAAACCAGTTTAATACTCATGATACATCAATATCACAGTAATAAAATCATAAAATCTACTTGTTTGACTATTCTTTCTTTCTCTCCTTCTGTTTTCTTTGTTTACCTCAAAGCAGAAGTCTTGTCCAAGGATGCTGCTATGGAGCGGTTTCACTGAGACGGGCTCTCCTCTGCCAAGATCTAGACACTCCACTGCGCTGCATGGGCTCAACAAGGATTCATGGGAACGTGACTCTTTTAGCTTAGGGAGCCCACGAGACCTGAAGTAGAAAAAGATATTTATGGTAGTATTACCCTGGCTAACTAGGAAATGAAGGTTTAATGCAGTAGAGGCAAACAACGACCGTACAAATGCCTAAGGAAAGAAGATAATGAGGAACAGATTACTATTTAATCTATAATAACAATAGTAATCATACTCGTGCAGCAAATATAAACTACATATATATGTGAGTGCACATGCTTTTTCCCAATAAAGCATAAAAACATACTACAATTTTACTAGTCTCAAGGGTGCTCAAAGCTTCACTAGAGACACTCACTGTTTTGAATTCTCATTCCTATCTTAGAAGATGGAGAAATGCCCTGTATATACTATTTAAGGTTATCTTATATATTCTTTTTTAAGCAAAGGTTATTTCCAAAAGACAAATTATTTCTTTTTTTCCCCCTATACTATGGCTTTCCCCCCATGCTATCATTGACAAAACAATAGTGGCTGAATTCTCATTTTGTTTCTTTCTACTTTGGCAGAATAAAAACACATATAAACACAGTCGAAGCCAAAATTTTTAGCACAAGACTTGTCTTTCAAAAGGCCTTATTTCCATCTTAATATGTAATTCTTCTCTAATAAGCTTTTGATTCTATCCATGCTTTACTGTATAAATATAAATAAGAATTAAGCTCCTTGAAGAAACCTCTCAGCATGGGGAAAAACAAAAGCCAAACTTTCATCTAGAAGACAGATCTTTGCCAACATCATTTGGGTATGCTTTCTGGTTTTGTTTATTCGTTATTTTAAAAAAGAATTTTGAAAATCCTGACTTTTGTCAGTAGAGGAGCTATTACTTCACTGCTTTCCTCTTGAAAGAATTAATGGAGTCAAACAATATAAAGTACAATATTCTTGAATCCAAACTGGGTGACCATACAGTTTTGCTCAAAATTATACTATCTATCAACGAAAACACTCAGAGTTACCCACATATATTTCAAGCAGAAGTACTTAGTAGTAAGAATAAAAAAAAAATTGTATAAAGACACTTGTTTTTATAAAACACATTAAATAAATGGCTTCATTTATTTCCTTGAAATAACTACATCAACACTAAAAGGAACTGAAATACTTAATGCCAGAGTAGCTTTTAGTTAAATTATAAAGTAATGGAGTTATAGGAAATTAGCACTAAGGCTGCTCTCTCTCTGCTGTCTCTGTTCCAAAACTGCTTAATCAAACTCCATAAAAACATTTTAAGCAATAAAGATTTTAGTACTTCTTTCCACAAAAATAATAAAACACCATTTAAAGTTTAGTCTAAAAAACATGTGTCCTGATATTCATCAATTTTTAAAGTAAAAACGCTAACATACATATTTTCCATTGAGAAGACAAAGATGCACAAAAGGGACAAATTTCACCTAATACTGTGTATATTAAAATTCAACAATGTAACAGTCTCACATTCATTTCCCTTTGTTCTATTTGATAAGACAATGACATGTTACGACGTACCTCAAATACAGCACATCAAATATAAATTACTAAATGCTAAAAAACTGTACTTTAATTATCAAACATCCTGTCCCAATATGCTAGTAGGAAGCCTGCTTGAGGAAACAGGACACTGTGATCTTTCTTAAACAGATATAAAAATAATTCTAGCCCATTTCCCTCAGGAGGAGTTGCTAGAAAGGAAAAGCCTCTCATGCTCTGGGGGTAAGCCTCTTAACAGGAAAGATAAAAACATATTTAAAATAGAAGGAGTATAACAAAGTCTTACTTTTACTTTTTAGATCCTCTAGGAAAATCTTCTAAAGCATAAATTCATTTTAAACAAAATAAACATCTACCTACACGAAGCAATTGTACAGCCACCTGGCAGTGCAACCCCAAATCATAGCGGTGCCACATGTCCTGGTACAGCAAGTCACTTTCTGAACTACATTTCAGAAAACAATTCTCTGTTTAGAAGACAGGAACCAATAGAAGATGGTTTCACTGCTGCCTTGGGTTACTAAAAACATCTTTGGATAAATGTTTTCCAGGTGTTATTTCAAGTCTTCAATAGAAGCAGAACAGAAACACAGATTAAAAAAGTCATATTCATCCAAACAGTCTGCAGGATGGGTAATCTTCCTTTTTCTCTTCGTTCAGGCTGCATCTAGCCCCTCAGGTAACATAAACAAGGTTCCTGGGCTCCAGGCTGGGTCCGTTACCATGGTGCTACACCTATAAGGAGATTAGAGCTGGAAGGCAGCAGGGAGAAGCCACAGCTTGAAGGACTCAGGGAGCATGCTCTATAAACGCGGCAAAGGTGACCACTTTAAGACAGAAAGGAAGGAATGGCGAGGCTCCTATCTATTTCTAGTAGTAAGTTCTCAGTGAAAGGCTATAGAAAAGAAACACAATCAATTCTGAAAGTGGAGGAGACTCTCTAATTAAAAACTCTACTACGGACAAATTTGAGAAGCTTTAGCTTGCTTAATATATGATTCCTATCCCCCTTCTACAAAGTAGTTTTTACATCCCACCTTAAAAATACAAGGTTTCTTTCACATTTGTTCTGTTTCTTTTGTGTTGTCTGTTTCTAGGTATTATTTTACCTGAATTTATCTGGGTTACACTTACTGTTTTCTCTTTTTGAGAAAGTTGGATAAAATCTTTTAACCAAAGTCACTAATATGTTCAACATTACTACTGAATAAATAGCAAGCCCCTTCTGTATTGGGAAGACAGTGTCTGTGAGAACCCAGAAATAATTCCCAGAGAAGCACAGTTACAGTAAACAGGAAGATCAAACAGCCTGGGAATGGCTTGGTGTGGGAGAGGCAATATTTGCACAAATATCTTAATATAATAGCATTAGTAACCCGAGGTTTCCACTAAATCATGTTTACCTCCTCTTATACTTTCATAAGAATTGATTTTTCTTAGATCTACTAACTACAGAGTTTTAGCAGCCCTGTGTGGCACCATAGTTTACTCCTCTAAGGGAAAGTAGAAGTGGATTTATTGGGAGAATGAGTTTAAAACAACCATTTCCCTGTTCAATCAGACAATGATCTTCATCAAGAAACATAACCCAGCTTTGAAAAGTGAACTTTGTGAATCCCTTGATTACTAGCTAGCTTCTCTCTCTGACTGCTCTGCGCCCCACCCCGCAGTCGGCTCCATTATCCCAAACACCATGTAAGAATAATTCAGGGCTCCAATTTCTCAATTTACTTGGGAAACTGCTTCCCAGGGGTAATTTTACTTCTAAGTAAGAAAAGCAATATTCTTTACATTTTTGTTTTAAGATCAATAGACAACCTTGATTTCTGTGCAAACTCTAAGACCTTTAGCCTGTGACAGGTAAGAATTAAAAATCTAATTGCTTTGCTGATGATTACTTGTTGCTTCTGACCTATTTAAGAAATAAACTACAAGGCATTCTATTAAATAGAGGCTTTCTATTACTCACTAAAGTGAATGAGTATTACATTGCTTTAATCCTTAGCCCTATCTGAAATCAGTCTTAAGAGATAAAAGTGAAGGGCTGGGGGATGGGGAGCCAACACATACAATAGCAAATACACTGATTAAGACAAAAGTGTAAAAGAACTCTGATTAGTGCAATTTTAAGTCAAACACAGCTGGATTTTCTCAGCTTAACCATTCAGTGTTTTAAAAAGCCACATATACCCCATAGCTCCAGTGATGTTTGAATGTGCTAGCTCAACCTGCCACATGCTCATAGATTCAGTTCCAGATTTAGAAATCAGGAAAGTTTAAATTAAAAATGCTTATTGCCACACAGAATCCTGGACTCCAGTACAGGTGAGCTTCTGCTCGGCTTGACAGTTAGGATTCCAAACTGTTTCACTGATTTCCCGAAGAGACAGCTTACCCAGTAAGCTAGGTGGAGCAACATACCCTTGTATTCACCTAGTGTGCTTTCCTCACCTGGTTTGAAAATATTCCAGGTAATAATGAACAAAACTGGGTATCCTAATACACTACCAACAAATTTATATAGCATCTAATCAGTTTTTCAAAAATTGCATTTGAGGTCTCACTTTGGGAAAAATGTAGCTTTACCTGCTCCCTGGATTTTATTGCTTTCCAATCAGGTATTTTATGAAAACATCCAATTGATGTTTTGGTTGGAAAGCACAGATACTCTTCTGTATTATAATTTGAAAGGTTTTCCTCCCTGGATTAAAAAAAAAGAAATTAGAACTCATTCATCATTTTGCTTATGTGCTAACCTCCTTGAGGATCCTGACAGCACTCACTCGCTGTGCTGATTTACTGGCCGCAGTTGAATCCAGTCTCTACTGCTTTATGTTACTCGCTGATTTTTATGTTAACTTTGAAAATATATTTAATATACATATCAAAAATGTATACCACTCACACAACCACTCATACTAAGAGCTATTCATGAAATATAACATGTACTGGAGATCTTCCTTTGCCCTGCTTGCAGTCTCTAGATAGGATGGCCTAATGAGCCTAGCTGCTAATGATAAAGGATGCTTGTCAACCTGAGTTTTCACTAAATGACCAAACTTATGGAAAGGAGATTTATCAACATCAAGAAAAATAAAATCCATGCCTAATTTGGTACATATACATGTATGTATACAATGAAGGTAGACGCAGAAGGAAAAGACTAGATTATAAATATTAAAACATGTTCTAGCAGGTAGAAAATTCAATTTGCCTCCAAAATGACAAACATTAGAAAATAATGTCTTTATAGAAACTGTACCGTGTTATAATATACATTTTTTGTCCTTAAGCGGCAAATAATATAAATAAAATCTACTAGTACCTATTAAACAAATGAAATATAAACACAACTATACTGAATTGAAAAAAAAAAATAAAAGAAAACCAAACCACATTTGTAATCAAACTCAACTAACATACTTATAGTTAATGAATGGAAAGACTTAACTTTTTTTTCCCCTTTTCTGAATTCAGTTGCTAGATTTTTAGTCTTATAATTGGCATAAAATTAAGGTTATGGGTGAAAGAAGAACAGAAAAG